TTTTGATATGGAAAACAAATTACATTCAAAGATGCAAAATGTGGGGTGACTTTAGCTCAGGAAGTAGCGTTTGTTATCAGTTGCTTTGGAAGGGTGGTGGTTGGGTCCCTAGCTGCTCCAGTCTGCACACTTTATATCCTTGGGCAAGATACTAACCCCCAGTTGTTCTCTGTTGGGTTTGTTAAGAGGAGAGATTCCCCGAACATAACCGTGAGCCACTGCTAATTTTACTGTTAATGTTTTCATGGTGGTTGAACCAGGGGGTTAAAGGGGGATATGGTAGGTGGGGGGGGACCCTCACAGGTGTAGTGGTGCAGCATGGGGGGAAGGATCACTCAGGCATGAGTCTCATCATTTGTTTAGTGAGCTCCAACAGATTTTTGTTGTTCACTGCTCTTTGCGTATTTAGCCAGCTGAATTATGGTTATGAGAACAATCAGGCTGTAAGCATTTTTATTCTTTTTGCTCTGTACTGTTTCCAGCACATTTCCAGTATGTGGTGAGTGGGGGTGGGTTACAAGGCTGTGGGGGGAGGTGTGGGAGTTGGACTGCAGGGCCAAGCCAAGCACATCCAATTTAAATATGCAAATGTTATCACAGGGAGTGGTAACAAGAAACATGGTACCAATGAGGGAGAACAGAGAACAACACAGGACTTAATATAATTAAATGTTTGCTACTGTCGGGCTGCCTGATCAAGAATCACTTATCTCATTTTGAAGTTATAGAAAACATGGTTAACATTTCTCCTTAAACACCTCCAGGGGAAAATATAAACAGTATGTTTTTTATTATATACAACCTAATCCTGACTTCACAAGTGAGCAGGCTGAAGACCCTAAACCTGTTTGTTCACAAGAATGAGATGGTTTAAGAGATTTATATGGCACAGCTTTGTCGATTTCCTGAAGCCAGGAGTCTCTATCAAATAATTTAGGTCAGAAACCTTGCAGACCTCTAGAAAGGGACCACTGTATTTCACCTGAAAGGTGAGGTAGCAAAGGCCAAAAGTGCAAGGACACAGTCCCCAAGACTGAACTGGCATTCCACATCCTGCCTGTCATAGATTTTATTCATCTTTTCCAGTGAGCTCTCCAACCTCTCTTTAGCTATTTTACCTGCCATATGCTGCCATCCAAGCGACGTCTTTTTCAGGGACGTCTCTGCTTATTTCAGCAGGACAATGCAAAGCCACATTCTGCATGTGTTACAACAGCGTGGCGTCGTAGTAAAAGAAGAGTGCGTGTGCTATAGTGGCCTGCCCGCAGTCCAGACCTGTCTTCCATTGACAATGTGTGATGCATTATGCAGCACAAAGTACAACAACGGAGACCCCGGGCTGTTGAGCAGCTGTTGTACATCAAGCAAGAATTGGAAAGAATTCCCCCTACACGGCTTCAAGTGTCCTCAGTTCCCAAACACTTATTAATATTAATACATAATACATTTACATACGCCTTTCAAAAACCCAAGGTCACCTTCTAAAAGAACAAAAATTAATGAAAGGAGCAATAGTCATAAATCCATAAAATAAGTTAAAATTGCAAAACAGAACTTAAATAAAATCAGCATGAGGAGGAAAAATCGGCGAGGAGCAGAGCGACTGAAGGCTCTGTTCCCCATAGTGATGAGACGTGCGGACAGAACAGTAAGATGAATAGCAGATATTCTGTCCCTCCTGTTATTTCTAAGGTATGTTTTTTATAAGTTTGTTATATGGCGGGTCATAATCATTCGTTCTGTAATTAACTGTTGCAACATGTCAGAAAATATGTTTATTCCTGATCTTGTCTGGGCAGAGCCTGCTCAAAGAGGGACAAGAAAACAGGATTGACTGGCCACTAGGGCTAGTCACAAAGACCTTCCCCAGTCAAGATGGCAGAGTAAGGAAGATCAAAGTCAAGATCATCCGCAGTGGCGAATGTAGAGTGTACCTGAGACCCATCAGTGAAGTCGTCTTGTTGGTACCTAAGAGCTAAGTCTGAAAGACTCTTAATATCCTTTGTAATAGTGGGATTCAGCTTTAGTTGGTGTGACGTCCTGCAGACGTCAGGCGGGGAGTATTCTGTCCCTCTTGTTATTTCTAAGGTATGTTTTTTATAAGTTTGTTATATGGCGGGTCATAATCATTCGTTCTGTAATTAACTGTTGCAACATGTCAGAAAATATGTTTATTCCTGATCTTGTCTGGGCAGAGCCTGCCATCTAGTGGGTTGACAGGGTAGCACCATGTTAGAGCGCAAGCAGTGGTTTTCTCCCAGCGCTCGACAGGGAAGGTCCATTTGGCTGTGTCTCTGTAAATTCCTGCATCTGACGCCCTTGAAAAGGCATAATCTGTAAGTGTGGCAAAACGGTTTATTGTTCCCACTTATTAGTACCTTGTTCAGCAAAGTAATGAGCTTCTTGTGTGTTTAGCGAGTTTGTTACATTACTAGCACAAGCTAGCTGTTAGCCCTTTGTTTAGCCTGCTAACATGAAGCATACCAGCATGTGGTGTTAGCTGTATTTCTTACCATCTCTGTATCTCTTGATTGTGTAGTGACTGTTTACATAAGTCAACAATAGTTAATGTAATCTTTGTGTAATTGTATGGAGAGTGAATACACTGTATTCTGTTTATGTTATTACAGTTTTACAAAAAAAAAGGAAAATAAGGATCAGTAAAGCTCTGAAGAATGCCACGCGGTCTCCTGAGTGTTTACTGAAGCCATTTAATGTTTAGCTCACTGCATAAGCTGGATAGAGACGTTCAGCTGAGGGCAGAAGAGCAGATGAGGATCTGAGAGGGCAGGAAACAGTGGTGATATGGAGCAGGTCACACAAATAGGAAGGCGCAGATTTATGGATACACATGTACGTGAGAAGTAAGGGAGGCCAAATAAGAGGGAGTTGCAGTAATCAATACGGGACGTAATAAGACTATGGACGAGGATGGCAGCAGCATGGGGAGTAAGGACGGGACGAAGTCGGTTAATGTTACGTAAATGGAAGAATGCATACCAGGTTATGTAATTAATGTGAGACTGGAATGAGAGAGTACTGTCAAATATGACACCCAAACTCTTAACCTGAGGGGAGGGAAGGGTAGGAGAATTTTTAATGTTAATGGAAAAACTGTGTTAAGATAGAGGCCGTGCCAACAAGTAAAAGTTCTGTTTTATTACTGTTGAGTTTAAGAATTAGAGGAGAACCAGGACCTAATCTCAATAAGACAGTTTGAGAGGGAGGTAGGTGGGAGGGATGAACTGGGTTTAGAAGAAATGTAGAGCTGGGTGTCATCGGCATAACAGTGAAAATTGATATTATATGTATATTATTGAGTACTGTTAAAAGGTAAGGTGATATAACACAGTGGTAAACATGTCGCAGCTTTTTTTGAAACGTGTTGCAGACATCAAGTTCAAAATGAGTGAAGATTGGGGGTGGGCGTCCAGGTACACACCGGCTCACTCCTTGGCGGCCGCTTATCGGGGCCTGGAGCCTGGGGCTCGCTCGGGCCCCTTCGGGGGTGGGGTGCCCCCGGCCTCTCGGCCTGGGGCTCGGTCACTCAGGCACAGCTGGCGGCCGGCGGAGGTCACGGGCGCGTCACTGCAACTCCCCCTGGCTTCTGCTCCGCGGCTGCTGAGTGAGCCCTCATCTGGGACTCTCCTCAGCTCTTTCTGGGACAGTGGCGCGGCTGCCCCTCTGTTGGTCTTCCTTGGTCTCTTGTGTTCTGGGGGCCTCTGGATGTCTGGAGTTTTGATCTCCTCCATACCTGCTTCACACCCTGGAGGACGGGGCTGTGGCCCCCCACACTCCCTAGCAGATCGTTACATGGAGAAACCTTTGGAATACAAGCGCGCTGATCCACACAGGTATGCACACGGGTGTTCACTGCTCGTAGACCCAAATTACACCTTTCTTGGCTGCTACTTCGAAGCACATCTGTCCTGCATGCTGCACAACAACATTGAATATTTAGTATTTACTGCTGTTTACACTTAGCTAGATTAATGCGATAGTGTTGTGTTTAGTATGTTGCTTTGGGGGTTTTTTTGTTTTTTTTGCTTGTTTTCTATTCTTCTCTCAACAGGTGATCCAGGAGATTTTTTATTTTTTTTCTCCCCCCCTTTCTCACTGTCCCTCTCCCCTTCTGTTTTTCCTTTCCTTCCTCTTTCTTTCTCCCTTTCCTATCCCTCACTCATGTCTGTCCCGTCTGTAACATCTGAAAATAAAATATAATAAATAATAAAAACAAAGATCGACCAAATGGACCAATACGGCAATGCCACGATGATCCATGTATCCTTGTTGGTCTTCAGACAACAATTCTGATGGCTAAAGAACCAAATGGGACAGGCGGGAAAAAAAAAAAATGAGTGAAGATTTGCAAAATAAATTTTATTAGTTTGAACATTAGATAATTTGTCTTTGCAGTGTATTCAACTGAATATGGGTTGAAAACCAAATCATTGCAAATCATTATATTCTGTTTTTATTTATGTTTTACACAACGTCTCAACTTCATTGGAACTGGGGTCATACACTTCATTGCCAGAAGTATAGACTCACCCAGTCTACACTTCATGAAATGGGTTTCCATGGCCAAGCAGCTGCATCCGAGCCTTACGTGATTATGGCATGGGGTTGTTTTTCAGAAGTTAGGTTTGGCCTCTTACTTTCAGGGCCTCTTACTATGAACACGGCGGTGTGTCCTAATCACATGAATGATTTCAAATGAAGGAGCACCAAGATGCAGCAAAAAAACAAAACAAAAAACAAGACATGTTATCTCCTTTCCTATCTGTGGAAAAATGCACCATGGAAACTGTATGGCTACACCTGGCATTGGGTTGATTGGGAGTGACGGCATAGAGAGAGAAAGTGATATCAATAGTAAGTGTGAAAGATTCGTGACATTTACAGTGTTTGGAGTTTATAGTTGGTTTGTAGTGTCACTGTCATGAACCGAAGTTCCGAGCGCAGGCAGGACCCAGTAGCAGAACACACACACTAGGGAATGAGCGAATAAAGAAAGTAATTTTTTATTGAAACTAAAGGTGTCCCGTGAGGGTAGCCAGAAAAACAACGGGTGAAACCAGACGAAACCGAGGGACCGCACAGGGAACGCCGAGAGCGGGGCTGTGAGAGGCTGTAAAACAAAAAGAGAGACAGATTACTGGGGTGCGGGAAAAAAGGCAGCATACGAGGGAAGGTGGAGTGTGCGTCTCACGGTGATAGCCGGGCCGAGTGAACCAGAGGGGGGTGGAGCTCCAAAAGGGGTCGAGACGGCGAAGCTGAATGTGAACCGAATCTCAGGCGGACAGGTGGACAGGCTGGTGGCTCAAAAAAACACGCCGAGTAGTGATCGCTGAGAGGCGACTACGGACTGGCGTGGAGCAGCAGGTAGGGCAGGATTAAGTAGTCCACCTGGTGATCGCCTGGGATGGGATGCAGGTGTGGGGTTAGCAGCCACGCTCGTGGGCGTGGACATCCCAGCAGCACCCCGGACGCCGGGCCGCGGACCATGACAGCACCCCCCCTCAAGGGTCGCCCCCAGGCGACCGGCCGGGACCCCGCCTGCGGAGAGAAGCACGGAAAGCAGAGATGAGACGAGGGTCCAGAATGAAGGAGCGCGGGACCCAGAGGCGGTCCTCGGGGCCGTATCCCTCCCAATCCACAAGATACTGCCAGCCGCGCCCGCGCCGGCGCGCATCCAGGATCCGCCGGACCGCATAGGCCGGATGGCCGCCGACGAGCCGGGCGGGAGGAGGGGGCTCGGAAGGAGGGCACAGGGGGCTGAGGCGGACCGGCTTAAGTTGAGATACATGGAACGTGGGATGCACACGCCGAGAGGCCGGAAGCCGGAGCCTGACTGCCACCGGGTTGATGACTCGGTCCACTTCGTACGGCCCGATGAAACGGGGAGCCAGTTTGCGGGACGTGCCCCGGAGCGGGATGTTCTCAGCAGCCAACCAAACCTTCTGTCCCGGCTGGTAGTCAGGGGCTGGGGTGCGGCGACGATCGGCGTAGTGCGCCTGTCGTTCCTTTGCGCGCAGGAGGGCGCGGCGAGCGCAGCGCCACACACGTTGGCAGCGCCGGAGGTGATGAGGGGCCGACGGGACGGAGAGGGACAGGTCCTCTTCCGGGAAGAGCGGAGGCTGATACCCGAGGGACGCTTCGAAAGGAGAGAAGCCGGTGGAGGACGAGGTGTGAGTATTGTGGGCGTACTCCACCCAGGGCAGGAAAGTAACCCAGGAGGAGGGGTTTTGACTGGCTACGCACCTCAGCATAGTCTCCAGCTCCTGATTAAGGCGTTCAGTTTGCCCATTGGATTGCGGGTGGAAACCGGAACTCAAACTGACCTTGGCGCCGAGAATGGAGCAGAAGGTCCTCCACACTTGTGAGGTGAACTGGGGACCGCGATCGGAGACAATGTCCAGGGGAATTCCGTGGAGCCTGAAGACTTCCGTGACTAACGCTTGGGCAGTCTCAGCAGCCGAGGGCAGCTTGGCTAGCGGGACGAAGTGGGCGGCCTTAGAAAACCGATCCACAACGGTGAGGATGACACATTTTCCAGAAGAGGTGGGGAGACCGGTAACAAAGTCGAGCGAGATGTGAGACCAGGGCCGGTGGGGAGTAGTGAGTGGGTGGAGCTGGCCCATGGGATGTTTCGTGGATGGTTTATTACGAGCGCAGACGGCACAGGCAGACACGTAGTCCCTCACGTCCCGTAGTAGCGATTTCCACCAGAAGTGTCTGCTGAGGAGGCGCGCCGTTCTGCTCACGCCCGGGTGGCACGCGAATCGTGCTGTGTGGATCCAGTGGATGACCGCTCCCCGGGCGGCGGTGGGAACGAAGCGCCGTCCCGGCGGTCCGGTCCCTGGGTCAGGGTCCCCTGGGAGCGCTTGACGAATGGTCTCCTCAATCTCCCAGGTGAGAGCACCCACCACGCAGGAGGCAGGCAGGATGGTGGCGGGGGGGGGCGCCTCGCTGTCGGGGGAATACAGACGGGAGAGCGCATCGGGTTTGATGTTTCGTGACCCGGGACGATAGGAGAGTGTGAAGTTGAAACGGGCGAAGAATAGGGACCAGCGAGCTTGACGGGGATTTAACCTCTTGGCGGTTCTAAGGTACAGTAGATTTTTATGATCCATCCATATAACGAAGGGCTGTTCGGTCCCCTCCAGCCAGTGACGCCATTCCTCCAATGCGAGTTTTACCGCTAGGAGTTCCCTGTCGCCGATGTCGTAATTCCTTTCTGCGGGGGTGAGTCGGCGTGAGAAAAAGGCGCACGGCCGGAGTTTGTTCAGGGGCCCAGACCGCTGGGAAAGAACCGCCCCGACTCCCGCGTCAGATGCGTCGACCTCAACAACAAACTGTTTAGAAGAGTCAGGATGGGTCAGAATGGGTGTGGACGTGAATAATCGCTTCAATTTAGCGAAGGCTGCGTGGGCCTCAGGGGACCATGTGAAAGACGCCTTGGGTGAGGTGAGTTGGGTGAGAGGCGCGGCCACCTGGCTGTAGTTTCGAATGAAACGGCGATAAAAATTCGCAAACCCCAAGAAGCTCTGAAGCTTCTTTCGTGTCTCCGGAACCGGCCATTCCAATATGGCTTTGATCTTCACCGGGTCGGTCTTCACCTGCCCACCAGCGAGGATGTAGCCCAAGAAGGAAATGGATGAGGCGTGGAACTCACACTTTTCCGCTTTCACGTACAGTCTATTTTCGAGCAGCCGTTGTAGCACGCTCCTCACATGGATGCGATGGTCCTCGAGCGTCTTGGAGAAAATCAAAATATCATCCAGGTAAACAAAAACAAACACGTTCAGGAAATCCCGTAACACGTCGTTGACTAGGGCTTGAAAAACCGCCGGGGCGTTCGTTAACCCGAACGGCATCACTAGATATTCAAAATGCCCTAGTGGGGTATTGAAGGCGGTCTTCCACTCGTCGCCTTCACGTATCCGTACCAGGTGGTAGGCGTTCCGCAGATCTAGTTTGGTGAAGACCGTAGCTCCCTGGAGTGAGTTAAAAATAGAACTAATGAGTGGGAGGGGATATTTGTTTTTGACGGTGACGTCATTCAGCCCCCTGTAATCGATGCACGGGCGGAGCGTCCCGTCTTTCTTTCCCACGAAGAAAAAACCTGCAGCCACGGGAGAGGATGACGGCCTAATACGTCCTGCAGTTAGCGACTCCTGGATGTAATTCTCCATGGTTTCTCTTTCGGGGCGAGACAGGTTGTATAATCTGCTAGAGGGCAGCGAAGCTCCCGGGAGCAGATCGATAGCACAGTCATATGGACGGTGAGGCGGGAGTGAGAGCGCCTCATCTTTACTGAACACCTGCTGGAGATCGTGATAATCGGGGGGCACGGAAGAGAGGTCCGGCGCGGGTGGCGGGGCGGGCCTCCGTTCCGTTGAGGCGGAGGGAACGGCTGACCTCAGGCAGTTCGCCAGACAAAACACACTCCAGCTCGCGATACTTTTTCCGGCCCAATCTATGTGTGGGTTATGTCTCTGTAACCAGGGGTAGCCTAGGATAAGCGGGGTGTCAGGAGCAGGAAAAGTGAAAAAGGACAGCTGCTCTTGGTGGTTACCTGATGTGATTAACCGTACAGGCGCGGTTTGGTGAGTTATGTATGCAAACACTTGGTTATTTAATGTAGACGCAGGGATGGGCGGTTCGAGTGGAGTAAGAGACACAGCTAGCCTCTTAGCCAGCTTCTCATCCATAAGGTTCTGTTCCGCCCCGGAGTCCACTAACGCGGGGCATGTAAAAGTCTGATTAGAAGTCACGATAGTAACGGACAGTAACAATCGGGGTCTAGTAGTGCTTAGAGTGCTGCCCACCCGTATCCCCGGACTCACCGGTGGGCCGGGTCGTTTGGGCGGACCGGGCAAACAGCGATGCGGTGACCGGGCCTCCCACAGTACAGACATTCTCCAGCCCGAAATCGGCGTTCCCTCTCCTCCGGAGAAAGCCGAGAGCGTCCGATCTGCATGGGTTCAGGCGGGGGCGGCGACGGAGAGCGCGCACACGCAGCTGGGGGCGGGGGCGGAGAAACGCGAAACCCGGGGCGCAATACGGAGCCCATAGGCTTAGACCGCCGCTCGGCATCCCTCTCCCGCAAGCGTCTGTCAATCCGACGGGAGAGGGAGGCCAATTCATCAAAGGATCTGGTCTCCTCGTGAAAAGCCAGTTGGTCCTTCATCTGGTCATTTAACGACCGTAAAAAAACCCCACGAAGAGCCGAATCGGGCCAACCCACGGCGACCGCTCGAGTACGGAATTCAACTAGGTACTCCGCAATACTGCGCCGCCCCTGACGGAGCCCCAGCAACTTCTGCGCGGCATCGTCCTCCGATACCGGAGGGGAAAACGTAGCCTGGAACTCCTCCAGGAAGTCATCGTAATCGCAATCACGAATGGGATGAGAACTTAAGTAGGCTTCAGCCCATGCTAGAGCACGCCCCCGTAACAATCCCACGAAGTGGGAGATCTTAGCAGTATCCGTGGGGAACGCGTCAGGCGTGCGACTGAAAAACAAGGAGCACTGGAAAAGGAACCCCCCACACAGGTCTAGCTCCCCGTGGAAGGGTTCCAGCGGCGGAGGCGACACGCCGCGGTGCACGGGGTCGGACGGCCTAGTTTGTAATTTATTCTGAGTGTCACTGAGCTCTTGACAACGGTCTTGGAGAGACTGGAGCTGCTGATCGTGGCGACCGAGGATAGCGCCCTGTTTATTAATAGCGGAGCGGAGTGGATCTGCTGGGTCCATACTGGCCAGTCCGTACTGTCATGAACCGAAGTTCCGAGCGCAGGCAGGACCCAGTAGCAGAACACACACACTAGGGAATGAGCGAATAAAGAAAGTAATTTTTTATTGAAACTAAAGGTGTCCCGTGAGGGTAGCCAGAAAAACAACGGGTGAAACCAGATGAAACCGAGGGACCGCACAGGGAACGCCGAGAGCGGGGCTGTGAGAGGCTGTAAAACAAAAAGAGAGACAGATTACTGGGGTGCGGGAAAAAAGGCAGCATACGAGGGAAGGTGGAGTGTGCGTCTCACGGTGATAGCCGGGCCGAGTGAACCAGAGGGGGTGGAGCTCCAAAAGGGGTCGAGACGGCGAAGCTGAATGTGAACCGAATCTCAGGCGGACAGGTGGACAGGCTGGTGGCTCAAAAAAACACGCCGAGTAGTGATCGCTGAGAGGCGACTACGGACTGGCGTGGAGCAGCAGGTAGGGCAGGATTAAGTAGTCCACCTGGTGATCGCCTGGGATGGGATGCAGGTGTGGGGTTAGCAGCCACGCT